AATGTGTGTCTGGAGGTCTGTACAGACAGGCAGTGATGAGGCAGTCACGTGGTTGGGTTTACAACCAATGAGAAGGCAGAACAGAAAGTCTCTATAAAGACAGACAGAAAGTAGGGCTCTTTCAGAGGGGTCTCTTGGCTGAAGAGGCTAGCTGCAGCAGGCGGGTAAGGCTCTTAGCTCTGATCTCTTGGCTTTCTTCTTTGCACTGGTTCTGTGTTTCTTATTTAATAAGACGGTCAGTTACATCTACAGCAGCAGGCAAGTGTGATGCTGGAACAGTAGCTAGGAGCTTACATCTGATCCACAAGCACAAGGCAGAAAGACAGAGAGCTAACGGGAATGGCATGGCTTTTGAGACCTCAAAGCCAAGCCCAGCGACACACTCCACACATCCTAATCTTTCCCAAATAGTTCCACCAACTGTGGATTAAGCCTTCAAATGTAAGAGCCTATGGGGGCCACTCTCAGTCACACTACCAAATGCTTTTTTCAAGTTTATGGAAATAGATTCATTTAATTTTTATGAAAACCTTATGAGATGGACATTTCTATTGATCCTATTTGAGAGGATAAGGGCACTAAGGATCTAGTTTAAATAACTCTAAAACCATTGAATAGTAAAGTCAAGATTTAAACCAAGGGGGCTGGAAAGAGGGCTCAGCAGTTTAAGAGTGCTTACTGCCCTTGTAGAGTTTGGTTCCCAATACTCATTCTGTGGTTCATAACTATCTGTAACTCCAGTTCAAGGGGAGCCAACACCCTCTTCTGGCCTCTGTAGGCACCAGGCATGCACTTGGTATATAGTTATACATACCAGCAAAACACTCATTCTCATCAAATACAATTTTAAATTTGTTTTCAAAGATTCAAACCATACTTACTTTTCTTATTAAAATTTCAGGTTAACATTCAAAGTACTGGGTTTCATCATGGCATTTTTCATAAGGATGTCATTATACTTTGTTCTCAGCACTCAGAGTTGAGCTGGGTATGGTGGTGCAATACTGTAACTCCAGGCTTGGGGAGGAAGGGACAGTGAGATCAGGAGTTCAAGGCCAATACTGTCTTCCTTCCAGCCTGATCTACATGAGGCCCTGTCTGAAAACCAATCTAGGCACCAGAGCAATGCTACATTCATTATACAGGTTAGAAAATGGTAAGGGAGATGGTGAGGAATGAAACTGGAGTGAACAAAGCAGATTGCAACTTCACATAAAGTACAAAGTTTCTAGACTGCTCTTTTAGAATTCAGTGTGGTAACTGTGATATACATAGTTCTTTTATATTAAATATATATCTGAAGCAAAAACGAAAAATGTCAACATTTTATGTAGGCATGTGGGTGTGTACTATATATTTTGGTAATTGGGTTTATTTTTAAAACTTTTCAAGAAGAAAAATGTCTCATCTACAAAACAACACTTACAGTTAGTTGGGCATGACATATAATCACAGCTGTATGGAAGAGGAGGCAAGAAGTTGGAAAGCTCAAGGGACAAACTGTCTCCAGAGCCAGTAAGAGAGCTGGAGAGGTAATTCATTGGGTAAAGTACCTAGTGCCCAGACATGAGGACCTGAGTTCTGAACCCCAGCACCCACACAAAAGACTGGGTGAAGTAACACAGATCTGTCTCCCCAGTGTTGGATGGGTGGGAGAGAAAAGCTGATCTCAGGAACTCAGCAGTCAGACAGTCTAGCCAACTGATGGACTCTGGGTTCACTGAGAGACCTTGCCTCAAAAAAAAAAGTAACTGAGGAAGGCATCTGATGCTGACTTCTAGCCCCCCCCCCACACACACAGAGAGAGAGAGAGAGAGAGAGAGAGAGAGAGAGAGAGAGAGAGAGAGAGAGACAGAGAGAGAGAGACAGAGAGAGACAGAGACAGAGAGACAGAGAGACAGAGACAGAGACAGAGAGAGAAATCAAACGAAAGTTACCACAGGATTAAAAATAAATTTCTGATCTCTATATTTCAGGTTTTACTTAAAAAACACACTTCAACATGAAATCAAATGTTCTAAAAAAGAATTTGAAAAATGGGTGTCTAGAACCCAAAACAGTTTCCAACTAGGAAAGTTACAAAAGGATATGAATACCAGGAGAAAGTGAGACAGGAAAAGCAGGAGACACATGTACTGATGGCCCCAAAAGCAAACAATGCTTCTCAGGCAGGGTTGGAGGGCAGAAGTCATGTTTTATTCACCTTTGTATCCTCAGTAACTAGCAAAATATTGGTATCTCTTAAACATCCCAATGCCGTTGCCTAACAACTAATAAAGTAACGAGGAAAAAACCGAGTTCATTATCAATAGGTGGCACTGTCAACATAGAGCAGTTGAGTGCTAGAAGGAAAAAGAACCCAGAAGTTAATGTGCACAGATGCAATCCATAGACCTAAAAATGAATTCACCCAAACAACCAGTTGCTTCTGTTATTGTGAGTGCACATACACACCATATTCTGCTAACAAGAAGGCAGTTTCTTTGTTGAATCAATAGTGCTTTAGATTTTCAATATTTTCTCTTAACTCTTTCATGTCACTTTGTGATTATAAGAACAGTAATTTAGCTGAATGTGGTGACATATATCTATAATCCCAGCACTCATGTGGTTGAGGCAGGAAGCTCTCAAATTCCAGGCCAAAATAGTGTCTCCAATACGAAGCTTTACACTACCCTTTTCGACTCCAAAGTGATATTGATGATATATAGTAGCAAAGTATAGCTGGACTCTCTTCATTCCACCCCACCAATTCTACTGGGGAAAAAAAAAAACAGCTGTGGATGGAGGGAACGGAAAGAAAGGAAGAAAACTTGATTCACTTTTTTTTTTTTTTTTTTTTTAGTATCTCCTTCCTCTACCTCTGGCAGGAAAGGGTGAAAACCTGAAAAGATAAGTCTCTGACATGGGAGAAAGCAGAAATAGCAAGTCCATTTTCCTGCTGGAGTAACTTACGCTTTCCGCTTACAATTATGAGACACCAGTGTAAACAAGAATGAAAGATCTGTAACATAACAACCAAGTCTACCTTTAGTGATGGTTATGAAAAACTAGGCTTCTCATAAGCAGAAGGCTTAAGATTCTGCAAACAACTAGAGTTAATGTAGTTTGTATCACATAGGAAGAAGATATTCTTCTTTGTTACATGTTTACTGTTTTCTGAATGAATTAATATGATGTACTCTGTCATTTCCTTCATATAAAGTCCCAGTTATACTAAATAGTATTCAAGTTGTCAGAAATGGGACAGTAATTCCAGGAACTTGAGAATCAATAACTACTTAAACCGGTGGTAATCCTGTGGAAGAGTTCAAATCAGCTCCAGGTTCCTGGGTCTCTTGCACAGACAGAAAAGACTTAGACTGTGTCACCAAACTTCAAAAATGTAAACTTGTGCAATTAAGCTTGAAATGCAGGCCAAAATTTCTCCTTTTCATCCCCAATATTAGGCTGGTGTCAAGATCAATTAACTTCCCTCACAAGCACATTCTTTCAAAATTCTTCCACAGTGAAGTAAGTCTGTGTTTAATAATTTGGAAAAAAGAGAATTATGTAACACATATAGAATGATGTTGGTAACTATATGTTATTCTAGACTCTTGCTGGGAGCTGCAGTTCAAAGGGAGTTTGTAAAAATGAAAAGCTGCTTCAAATGTCTCCCCCAAACAAAACAAAGTTCCCATAAAAGAAACCAAATACAATCTTATTTTAGGTTCAATTAGGGTTCAAATAGATCAGAAATTCTATTCACTTTTTTCAGAAGCTGTATCCCAGAACTACTATAAACAGAAACTGAACAACTTGTCCAAGAATCCTTACTTATTAACCAATCTTGGGTCCCCAAGAGACTCCTTTTTATAATAATCTCAAATGTATTACAATAGCTTTGTGTAACCTGGGCTACGATGTTTACAGGTGTCTCCACCTCCTTCCCCCAAGGAAAGAGGAGGTAGAATGAATGGGCTAGGCAGAAAACAGAATGAGGCTGTGTATATACACTAAACAAAAGCTTGTGATCATGTAATACTGTTTCTTTTACGCCTGGGTTATCCTTTTAATTCATGTCTAATACATTTAAAAGAATAATATATTCACAGAGTGACACAATTTCTGCCCTCCCGTGTCTCTGGCTGGCTGACACTCGCTTTCCCCTCAAATAAATACAAGCCTGTTGATGGATGCCTGTGCCGCTTTGCAAACAAGAAATAACTGTCCTGTAAGACAAATAAAAACCCTCTCTATGGCTCCGAAGCCAACCATACGTCCGAATAAAAAGCACACTGGAGCGACAACAGTCAAATTTCCCAGTATGTCCTGTCATTTAAAAGCACCATAATATGAAGAGAGATCGCTGCGACCCAATTTTAGATCACAAGCGTTTTTTTGCCCCTTCTCTTTTCTCCCCCCCCCTCACCCTTTCCCCTCCCTAGAAAGAGATAAACTTCAAAAGGAGTATTGATGACCAAGAATTGCGCACACACACACACACAGAGTAAAGGGAAAAAAAAAAACTGTCCAACTTGGACGCTGGCCGGGCTCACGTGGAACCTGAGCCCCGGCTGGGCCCCGGCATCTGGGCTGAGCAGCTGAGCAGCCGCGGGAAAGCAGCCCCCGCCGCGGGTTTGAAACCTGGAGCAGGTGGGATTCCGGGAAGCCACCTTACGTAACCGGCTTGTCAAAAATCCCAGCTTCAGGACCTCCCCCTGGTCCGCCCCCGCCCCATCACCCCAACAACAGCCCCAGGCCAGCACCGAATGGCCAATCTGGAAGGAGACCCCCGGAGCCCCGCGCGCGTTCCCACACGGAGGCGCGCGAACGCTCTCCCGGCAGCGTCTCGCCATCCTCTCCCGGACGGTCCGAGCCCCTGCCAGCAGCTGCCCGCGCCTGGCGGCCCTCCGACTCCTGTCGCCCTGCTCGGCGTCCCCCTTGCCAGTCACCTCCTCAGGGCCGTGACAGCTCCCCACGCCACCGATGCCCACGCCGCCGCCCCCGCCACTCACCTCCCCGCCGGCCCCCGCGCCAGCGCCGGCCAGAGCCCGAAGCGCGGGGTCCGATCCTTTCACGCGCGGCGGGCGGGACACGAGGGGGCTGAATGCCGCGACGCTTGCAGCCCGCTTAGCTCATCCCCCGGCCCGGCGCTCCGCCCTGCCGTCTCAGTCAGACGGGACTCCCCCTCCCAGCGCGGTCGCCACTGCCTCCGCCTCCTTCCTCAGCGCCAGCCGCCAAACCCACCGAGGCCGGCGCCATCTTGGGAGTGACGGAAAAGGCAAGGAGGCGGGGGCTGTGGCCTCGAAGACCAATCACAGGCCGAGTCTGACCCGAGGGGCAGGAGAAGGCCGGCTAAAGGGGTGGGTCGTGGGGGAGGGGGCTAAAGAGGACCCCCCCCGCAAGTGGGCGGGGCCGGGGGCGGGGCGGGACCAGGCTAGCTCGTGACGCGGGGTGTAGTTGGGGAAACGCGCCGTGGTTCCCCTTCTGTTAGGGAGATCCCGAGCCCCTGGCGAGTGTGAACAAGGCGTGCTGTACCTTCCTCTTTCACCATGTCGAGGCACAAGGATTCAGCTCTGGCTAACGACCTGTTTTTTCCTTCCTCCCCTGCAGTCCTAGCCTGCTAGAGAGAGCTTGTTGCTGCAGTCTGAGCTGAGAACCACCCACCAAAGTCACTGGCATTCTGCAGGAAACCCCCTGAGCCGTTAGCAACCACCAGTAGCTTTCAGTCCCAAGACAGAAGGTCAGGGAAAAGGGGAAATTCAGAGGGGTTCTCTAAAAAGTGCTTTGATAAAACACCTATTGTTGACTGAAGGGGTGTCCATTACATTGATTAATTGGATATGGCCTACTTAAACCAGACTACGGCTCCACCGTTAATGGCTATTGGCAGGTTGCCTTTGAAAAATGAGGATAATAAAGGTTGATTACCTCTACAGGGTTACTCAGAAATGCTATAGTGTATGCCTAAAAGTATTGAATAATGTTAGCTGTTATTCCAAGGACGAGTGAAGGAAGAAATAAGACCTTTAAAAAAAATCCCTCTAGGTTCAAGTTAATCTGTGCAAAACAGGCTTCACCTTTTTACTACCCGAGATTATGCTTTTATTTTATATCTCCATTTCTCTTATACTCATTCATTAAGACAACATTTTTGGGAACCCCAGCAGAGGGGACACCACGATCAGGGACCAGAAAAGGTCTGCTTTCAGGGACTTGCAGTCTAGTGGGGGAAGGGCAACAAAAAACAAATTTACTTCGCATTTGGAGAAGAAACAAGAAGATTATAGGAAGAATTCTGGGTAGAAAAATCATAGAATGCTTTTTGAAACCGGAGTGGGCAAGGGTATGCCCATCTGAAGCTCAGGAAGAAGCCAGTAAAGGGAGAAAGGCCCTGGGGAATGGAGCACAGCCTGATTGTGCAGAGACCCTGCAATAGGGAGGAGCTTGGCTTTTAGAACGGAGTGGAATCCGTGTTGCTGGGAAATGGGTTTTGCCTGGAGAAGCTTTACATTAGATTGGAGAGGGAGTTGAAGGCTCAGTTGTACAAAGCCTAGAAAGACACAGAAACAAGATCGGCTTTGATTCTAACTGCAGGCTGAAGCCACTGAATGGTAAGGAGTGAGCAAAGGAGTTAGGAACAGTGAGTGGCATTTGAAGTGTGACATCTATATTTATATTCCAGGCAACATATAGACCAGAGAACCTGACTGAAAGTTTTTAAAAATCTAAGTTTGAGCCCCTTCAACACTGAGTTGACTATAAATATAGTTTAGATTGTTTAAAGATGTGTAGGCATCACATAATATTGTGGAGAGAAAAATGCTAATTTCATTGAAAATTATTGAATGATATATATCACCCTTCCTCCCTTCCTCCCTCCCTTCCTTCCTTCCTTCCTTTCTTTCTTTCTTCCTTTCTTTTTTTCCTGAGACAGGGTTTCTGTGTGTAGCCCTGGCTGTTCTGGAACTCACTCAATAGACCAGGCTGCCCTTGAACTCAGAGATCCAACTGCCTCTGCCTTCTTAGCGCTGGGATTAAATTGTGCATCACCATGCTTGACTTGATATCATTTATTTTTAATCATTTTATATATCGTTTTGTTATAATGTATAGTTGCCTGTACAGATCAATGTTATTTGATGTGTATTTTTTTAATAGATTTCAGGTAGTAACCCATGTTAGTCAGTCTTAGTCATTTCTGCTAATGGGTAATGTTAGATACTGTAATTCCAAATGTATTTTTAATAAGCTTATTTTCCTTTATTTTTATTTTATGTCTACCACATGCATGCAATGCCTGAGGAGACCAAACCAAAACTGCAATCTTTTAACTTGGTTGGAGACTTCCTCCCGGCTGCCAATGTCATCACAGTGTTTATATCCCCATGTGAGGACATGGCTCTCTGCCAATCGATGGTTCCTAGAGAGTCTGTATCGTAAAGGGGTACAAGTAAACTTCTGGGGGAAGATGGATGCATCACTGTCTTGATTGCGTTGATGGTCACAGGTATAAACAATGTCAAAGTTATTACGTTGCACCTCTAAATATATGTATCCTTTAGACTTCAGTAGCACCACTTAAAAGCTTTTACTTTTTTACATTTTCTTCTAAGACAAGGCCACTATGTAGCCCAAGCTGGTGTCAAACCCACCTCAAGTCTCCTGCCTCCACCTTCCAAGTGCTGGGATTACATGCTTGTGCCATCACACCCAGTGTGTTCTGTGATGGAACCCAGAGATTGATGCATGCTAGGCAAGCACTTTAGCAACTGAGCAATATTCCCTGCTTCAAACAAACAAACAAAAACAAACTTTCTAAAGGTTCAGTTGGTAACTCCTGTTCTTTTTCCATTGTCCATAGACTTAGCCATTAATTGGTTTGATTGTTGTGAAACACACCCAGTCAGTTCCCCTTTAAAGGGTATCTTAGCATATTATAGTATCAGCAGTACAAAGCACGTTCAGTTGAGAAATAGATATATTCATCCACATTATAGAGTTCCAGTTAAAATATCATAAACATATAGGTGCAAGAAGAGCTTGTAGCATGGGACTCTTTAAAAGTTTCAGAAGTTGGACTGGAGAGATGGCTCAGGGGTTAAAGTGCTTACCGTGAGGGAGTGAAGACCCGAGTTCCACCCCAGGACCCACGCTTAAAAATCTGGACATGGTGGCTGTGCTAGTTTTTGCCAACTGGACACAAGCTAGGGTCGTCTGAAAAGAGGGAATCTCAATTGAGAAAATGCCTAAATCAGATTGGCCTGTAGGCAAAACTGTATGGCACAGTCTTGATTAGGGGTGATGTAGGAGGGCCCAGCCCACTCTGGGTGGTGCCACTTCTGGGCAGATGTTCCTAGGTTCAATAAGAAAGCAGCTGAGTGAACCACGGAATGGAATCTAATGAGCAGCCTTCCTCCATGGTTCTGCTTCAATTCCTGCCTCCAGGTTCCTTCTTGAGCTCCTGTCCTGACTTTCCTCAGTGATGAACTCTGATGTGGCAGTATAAGATGAAATACCCTCCCCAGATGGGTTTTAACTAGCTTTTGCTCACAACAACAAAAAGGAAACTAGAATTTTGGCCCAGCCCTTGTAATCTCAGCACTAGGGAGGTGGAGACAGGTTATTTGTATGTGTGTGCAGTTGCATATATGTGGCCAGTATATATGCATATGTGTGTGTGTAGGCCAGAGGTCAACTACAGTGTCATTCCTCAGATGAAGGCCACATTTTTTAAAGTTTATTATAAAATATATTTTTTATTATATATATGTTTTATTATTTTATTATAACATACATATATATGTTACTGGGCGATGATGGTGCACACCTTTAATCCCAGCACTCAGGAGACAGAGGCAGGTGGATCTCTGTGAGTTCAAGGCCAAACTGGTTTACAGAGCTAGTTCTAGGACAGCCAAAGCTACACAAAGAAACCCTGTCTCGGGAAAAAAAAAACAAAACAAAATAAAACAAAAACAAAGAGTTGCCAATAAAATACCAGGGGTTAAAAAAAAATAGCAGGGGTTCTCATTGGTCTGGAGTTCCCAAATAAGTAAGGCTTATTTGGCAGGGATCCACCCGTTTCTACTTCTCCAGCACTGGGATTACAAGCACATGCCACTATACCTGGTGTCTTAGTTAAGGTTTCTGTTCCTGTAACGAAACACCATGGCAAAAACAAGTTGGGAAGGAAAGGGTTTATTCAGCTTACACTCCCGTATCTCTTCATCATCAAAGGCAGTCGGGACAGGAACTCAAACAGGGTGGGAACCTGGAGGCAGGAGCTGATGCAGAGGTCACTGAGGGGTGCTGCTTGCTGGCTTGCTCAGCCTGCTTTCTTCTGGAATCCAGGACCACCATTCCAGGGATGCCATCATCCACAATGGGCAGGTCCTGCCCCCATCAATCACTAATTAAGAAAATGCTCTCCAGGCTGGCCCACAGCCAGGTCTTAGAGAAGCATTTTCTCAATAAAGGTTCTCTCCTCTTAGATGACTAAAGTTTATGTCAACTTGACACAAATCTAGATAATACACCTGGGTTTTTTTTATGGGAGCACTCCAGCTCAAACTCAGTTTCCCAGAATTGAGCAGAAAACACTTGACCAGCTGAGCTGTTTCTCTAGCCCCAGACCTTCTGTCTCCTGAAAAGAGAATTCTATCAAAAGGTAGCAGAGGCTCAAGACACTCAAGAGTGTTTGCCTAACATACAGGAGACTCCGTGCTTGATCGCAAATACTTTTCAAAATAATATTTTTACTATATGTTATAGGTATAGATGCTTTGCCTGCGTGTGTGTTTGTGCACTGTGTGCATGTCTGGTGTCCACAGAGATCAGAAGAGGGTGTTAGATCCCCTGGTATTGGAGTTACAGATGCTTGTGAGCCACTCTGTGGGTGCTGGGAATTGAAACCATGTCTTCTAGAAAAGCAACAAGTGCTCTTAACCACTGAGCCTTCTCTCCAACCTCTTAAGTACTTTTTTTTTATATTATAAATAAGTTTTTCTGCTGCTTTAAGCAAACAGAAATGATGGAAAACCAACATGGAACACTTGGCTGTGTTTAGAAAGTGTCTTCAAGTACTGCAGAGCCCTTAACAGTCAGATCTCAAGTCCTGGCAACATTCCAGGCACATGTCACTACAGTCACAGCTAAAGAAACTTGAGGCCCAAATGTGTCTCACACAAGGGGTTCTAACAGTATAGACATGAACCAGATAGGAAAAACATGGCTTACAAATCTCAGCCCCATGACATTTCTGAAATGAT